GTGGGTCAACCATCCTTGTCGGCTCTTGGTAAACCTGTAACCGTGTTTGCCTTTTGTTGACTTTGACTTTACATACTGTTTTCTGTTTTTATTTTTTACGGTTCGTTAAGTTACCAATTAAAAGTTTAAAACCTGCCGAGTCAGCGTTGAATGTTGATATATAATTACCAACATTTACTTACCGCTTTACTATTTCTGTTTTATCTAACCTTTGTTTCTTTTCTTTTTTCCTCTTTATTTTCCTTTTCAGAAATAAAACTTTTTTCCTGTTTATAGTGATCCGGTAATTAATAGTAATTTGAATTTAACGTTTTTTTTTCTTTCTTTTTACTGCATTGCTAAGAATAGTAAACTTACGTGGACATAAATTAAAATGGAGAAAATGTATGAAGAAAATTTTAAAAAACGTGGAAAATAAATTCAAAATACATAAACTTAGTAGTAATAAATAATAATTTAGATGTAATGGAAAAAAGCCTTAATCATTATAGTTTTAAATTTAATAATAACAAGCAGGCCGGCATGCGCTTGTGCTGCAGTCATCTTCTTATTAGGGCTATATTTTTTGTAGTTGTTTAAGTTGGTTAGTAAAAAGATATTGCATTGGCGGTAAGTTAATCAGTTAGGAGAAACTCATACATCCAAACAAATAATTCGCATGTATAAAGCAAAAGACATGACCTCTCTTTCATTCTAAAAGTGCATTACCTAAATTTTACTCCATATCTAGGTAATTCATCTGAATAAAGCTAATATTCTAGTCCTCCATCTCTAGATACTTCATCAAAATAAAGCTAATATTAATTGTTGTTTGAAATGTATGTTGATTATCTAAAAAAACATAGTACGTTGTGGTCATTTTTTAATCTTAATTGCAATTGTTAAATTAATGAATTCGGATAGGTGGAAGAATTTGGCTTCTGCATAAGGAAGGCCTAATTTTTTGTAGTCAAAGAGCATGTATAGTTGACATAGGAAAACTGAATTAGTTGAGAACATTTGTAGGAGCATATGTAATTTACACAATGCATCACAAAATGATTGTACTTAACATTGGCTAACTGTGCTTTTGGAAATGTGGAAATATACTAAATATAAGCAACTAATAGAAACCTCAGTAAAAAGGAAGTCGAATGATAAATAAAAAAACTTTTTGTAAAATAAAAGAGGAATAAGGAAATGTTGAATTTAAGTATCAAATAATATAATCAACAAATAAATCCAGATTTACCTTAAAATGTTGCGGTGAGAAGTGAAAGCTCCCCACTTTAGGTTATGTCATCCTAAGGCGCTGCTAAATTAAATATAAGGATCTTATCAATGTCCACCTGGAAATTTTAGGAAACAAAACGGAGTCCATGTGAAACCAATTCAGAGAAATGTTAGGGAAGAAGAAACCCACCCAAATAAAAAATGAAGGCGAAAGGAAAACAGAACTGGAATGTTAATAGTTTACCCATGAATCAACTATTATTGTAGATACATTTATAACACCAATCCTTTGGAATTCCGACAGAGGAGTTGAACCGGTAAATCCTAATATTCACACAAAATTAATATGTAATTAAAACACACTTAATCATAAATATAAAAATAGTAAATTACCAAAAAGGGCAGCAGGAAAAGTAAGGGAGGAAATTCATCGAGGACCTTTTTAGTCATTGGCTATAATTAGTTAATCAGTTAGGAGAAACTCATACATCCAAACAAATAATTCGCATATATAAAGCAAAACACATGACCTCTCTTTCATTCTAAAAGTGCATTACCTAAATTCTACTTCATCTCTGGGTAATTTATCAAAATAAAGCTAATATTCTACTCCTCCATCTCTAGATAATTCATCAAAATAAAGCTAATATTCATTGTTGTTTGAAATGTATGTTGATTATCTAGAAAAAATCATACGTTGCGGTCATTTTTTAATCTTGATTGCAATTGTTAAATTAATGAACTCGGGTAGGTGGAAGAATTTGACTTTTACATAAGGAATGCCTATGTTTTTGTAGTCAAGGATCATGTATAGTTGTCGTAGGAAAATTGAATTAGTTGAGACCATTTGTAGGAACATATGTAATTTACATAATGCATTACAAAATGATTGTACTTAGCAATGACTAAGTGTGCATTTGGAAATGTGCATAAGCAACTAATAGAAATCTCAATAAAAAGGAAGTCGAATGATAAATAAAAAAAAAACTTTTTTTGTAACATAAAAGAGAAATAAGGAAATGTTAAATTTAAGTATCAAATAATATAATCAACAAATAAATCCATATTTACCTCAAAATGTTGCGGTGAGAAGGGAAAGTTCCCCACTTTGGTTATCACATCCTAAGGCGCTGCTAAACTAAATCAAAGGATATTATCAATGTCGACCTAAAAATTTTAGGAAACAGAACGGAGTCCATGTGAAACCAATTCAGAGAAATGTTAGGGAAGAAAAACACATCCAAATAAAAATAAAGACGAAAGGAAAACAGAACTGGAATGTCAATAGTTTACTCATGAATCAACCATTATTGCAGATACATTTATAGCACCAATCCTTTGGAGTTCCGGTAGAGGAGTTGAATCAGTAAATTCTAATATCCACACACAATTAATATGTTATTAATTAAAAAACACACTTAATCATAAATATAAAAATTGTAAATTACAAAAAAGGGCAGGAGGAAAAGTCAGGGAGGAAATTCATCGAGAACCTTTTTAGTCACGCGAAAAGTGTGAAAAAACCACCAAAAGAAGACACCACATTAATCCTCAATTTAACTTTTAAATAATTTCCATTGTCATTAAAAATAATATATTAGTATATAATAAAAATTGAAATTAAATAATATGTGGTGGCGGGTCCCATCCACGTGAGAATTATTGACCTCAACTGCGTAGGAACGGAACAACACAGAAATGGATATTTAAAGTAGTGAACGGTTGAGATTAAGTAGATGGATGAATGTAGGGCCAGGATTAGGTAGGTGCTAAAGGGCACGCAATCCGCGTAATGCACATGGCATTGTTGGTCGGTAAGGTAAAAACATGATTGAGAATGACACCTTGAAACCAATTAAATTAAAATTATATATTTATATAATAATAATAATAATAATAATAATAATAATAATATAATATACATTGAACTTTTTTCTGGCCAGAATATACATTGAACTCAGTATATATACATCCTTATCATCATCATCTTATTATCTTTATTATTTACTTTTATTAATTAATGGGAAGAAATAATCCGAAAGAATCTCAAAAGTTCATTTGATTTATAGTATGTGCTAGTATTTATAATTGCTTTTGTTACTTTTATTCTTAATAAGAATAAATTGAATAAAGTTGTTCTTAAAATAACTTAAAAAAAGTTGTTCCGGATCTTTTGAAAGGAAAAATATATTGTGCCTCACAAATATTTGTAAGATTAACGGACACGACATTAATAATGAAACTTCACCTTGTGACTTGTGGCATTGAAAACCTTTTTGGTACAAGTCATTAATAGAAGTGAGAGTGAAAAAGATTTTAAACACGTCAAATTTTATTATATGGATAAATTTTGAAATGTCAATTCAACAAGATGATTTGGGTCATTATATCTATACTAATTGTAGGATAAGACTAGACTATTTTTGTATATTATCATTTAAAACCGTTAGATGTTGATTTAATTTGAATGACAACTGTTGAATATAATTAGTGTAAGAAAGTAGTATAATTTATATTAATGTAAATAACTTTACGGATATATATATATTCGATATAAAAGTGGAGGAAACCTAGATATAAAATTATACAAAAAGATATAAAGACTTTTTTCTTGGTATAAAAAGATATAAAGACTTGAAAACCGAATAAATGTAACTTAGACGCCGAGTATATTACCGAGTAGCAAAGCCCTCCAATTGAACAACTGTGAAACAAGAAAGAAAGTGACGTGTGTTTTTCTTTTTCTTTTTTCTTTCTAAACATATTAAAAATAAGAAAAATGCTGAATTACCCGATTGTCTTTTATTATTGACAAGAATAAAAACGTTATCGAATTCTTTATTAATTTATTTATATTCAATACTATTTGCGAATACTCACAGATATATTGTCTCATTTATTCGAATTAAAAAAGACTAACATTACTTTCAAAGTAGAGATATGTCACTTCATTGATTTACACAACTACATGTAGCATATATATAGCTTATGTACAAATTTAAGCATTTTTTTTATACAAACATTATGGATTTAAATTATTATATCACAAAATTAATCAACTACAATCTGCACAGAGAGAATAAGGGAAAAGGGAAAGGGAAAGCTCTCCACATTCATTTCTTTCATCACAAAATTCCATAATTTTCCGAGTCATAGCCCACAGAAATTGTGCTCCTACTTAGCATGTTTGGGTTATTATTATATGATGATTAATAATTTGTGAAAGATATACTTTGTCACCATTATTTTAATTTTATATACTACAATTCGGCTGTTATATCAATGTCATTAATTTGTCCACATTTCAGTCGATATGGTATGGTGGTGATAATAATATATAATATAATAATAAATAATAGTAAATAGTAGTATACATAGTATAAAAAGGAGGCTTCTATTATATCTATATCTAATGTTTTTATTAAAAACGTGCTATTCCAAATCCAAAGTGTCTCTGTGGATGGATAGTACATAGTTTATAATCTTGCAACATTACTTGATTCCATTAAGGTCTAATCAATGATATTGCATATGTAGAAAGTTGGTTTCTAAAAAGGTGTTTCGGGAAATTGCAATAAGAAGTTTATATTTAAATTGTTAGTGGAGTTTAACAAATTACATATGATTAATGGTTGACATCAGGGGTGGATGTATATTTAGGAGAGGATGGGCACTAAAGTTGATTACATTTTATGTTGAATTATTTACGGTGTCCAACCCAATTTTATCATGAGTGTCCATCCTAACTTGATTAAGGAACAAATTTAACTATAAAATAAGACGTCATCGGACATTTAGCTTGGTGGTAGAGTATTGGACTGTTAGTTCCAATGGTTAGGCTTCGATCCTAAAAGTCTTAAGTACCTAAAAAGTTACAATACTACTGTTGCGCCAAAAATCTCTTGCTAGAGTTTTCGTGGGGAATTCTTTATAACAGCGTAAGGGCGTGTCAATCAATTTGCTGAAATTGACAAAGAGGTTGTAAAAACAAGATCTGGTGCGCGGAGCAGCAGATTAAAAGATCAGAACGATTGTGGGGACTGGATCAAAGTCACACCGGAGCATCTAAATCATTGGATCCACACGAACTGCTTCTCAAAACTGGGCCTTCCTCTCTTTGGATCAGATCTGAGAGATCTGCTTTGATTGTGATTGAAATTGAAAAGAAAATAACAAACTGATCTGTTATTTCTGAATGAAGAACACGTGTACAGTGTTTGTATGTCCGGAGACAAGATTGAAACAAGAGAAAAACACTAAAAGAGTGTTTGTTTGTCCGGAGACAAGATCTAAACAAGGAAAATATGAAGAACGAGTGAAGAACTCGTGATGAACAAGGTGAAAATGGCGCAGAGCCAGAGAGAAAATAAGCACGAAGCTTGGTTTTTTGCGCGGAGCAAGTTTGTAGCTACAGGAGCTGGTTTTTGATTTCTCGAAAGAAATGTTTTAGATGCGGAATCTGCCGAAACCTGAGAATGGCCTCCCTTTATATAGGGGACGGTTTAGGCTTGAGCATTTAATGTGATTGCCTTGCTGAGAAAGGCAAAATCCTCCTCCTATGCAGATGACAGCTTTCAGGAAAGTGCAGTGAAGCTTCCTTCTTCTTCTGATTGCATCCAACTGCTTGGGAGAGGATTGGACATGCATAAGGGCGCCACTTTGCTAGGATAGGAGCCGAAAATCTACCTCCTGGGTAGTTGATGACAATTCTTCCTTCTGCCTATCACATTGCAGCAGGCTTTTGTTGCTTCTTTTGTGCTGAATTTAGCTAATTTGATCAAGTAGTGGCCAATTGACATCATGAATCGAACTCTGATCATCAAAGCCACGAAATTATTCATACTTGGCCATATTTAGCTCTTTAAATCATGAAAATACAAATTAATTAAGAAAATGGCTTAAATCGGGATGAGAAAGCCATATGTCCTTAATTGAAAAGAATGCAAAAATTGCAAACGATCTCGGATTTAACCAAAATTTCACCAGTAGGCTTAGAATATCTCCATAAGATCATGGAAAAAATCCCAAGTCAATTTGACCCCTCTATCATGGTGAATTTGGTTTCACTCCCGAAAATGTCCTTAACTGAAAACCGGACATAAGTTTTTACTTCGATGTCAGAATGAGGTGAAATTTTACCAAGATGATCTACATAGCTCACGGATCATCATGGTGTGCTCCTTAGAAAAAATCGCAGCCTCTAGCCTCTTCAATTGGTCAATTTCACTATTTTATCCTTAATTGAACAAAACACAAGTTGCAATTTCGCCTCCCGGGGAGGGGAGAAGGCTAGGCGATTATTCTACTATGGTTGATCGATTATATGGAGGAGGTGTGAGGTTGAAAATCTCATGCCTCTCTCACGTGCACAAATATTTCTCTTGCTGACAAACTTTAGCTCTCTGCCTCCTTCCTGTAAGAAGAGAAAAATGTCTCTCTGCAGGGCAGAGGGCGGCCTCTCCTCTGACTGGGAGACGACTTGGGCCTTGCTATGTATGTCCATGAGGTATTTTTCATCTCATGGTCAGATGGCAAGCAATTTTCCTTTTTACTTATTTGCCTCCCTAGCAGGCAGCAATATCAAAGGAAACTGCTTCTAATTTGATTCTCTGTGCTACTCACCTGGGTAGCAGCGACATACACAAGAAATTTAATAATAATTATTCAAAAAATAATTATTATTTAATTAGTAATTAATTAATTTCAGCCCTTGCAATTAATTTACAAGACTTTCCTAATTCAATTTGAACTAGGGTGGTGCAGAAACCTAGTTTCTTTAGGAATTTTGATTAAATCCTAACCACACATCTTGATTATAATTATGATAAGACCAATTTACCCTCAATTGTAAATTGAGGTATAAACAATGCCCCCAAACTTAAGTCTTTGTGTTAAAAGAATTTAAGCTTGTATTTAAGGAAATTGGTCTTGGACCGAAATTTTTCCTCTTATTCTCTAGCCAACGTCGACACCCTCTCTTGGTACCATACTTAGCCGAATTTTCCAGCAACTTTCTCAAGCTACAATGGCTTCCAAAGATCAAGGCAACAACAAGAATCATCACCAAAAATCATCTTTCATGCCAAGCAATTCAAGCCACGGCTCCTTGTTCTTGGAGGCTTCCAAATCCTTGGCACGAATCAAGCAATTTGGATCAAACTCCCATGATGACAGCTCCCAATCGACTCAAGCAAGGCCTAAGCTCAAGTCCATGGTGATTGATCCCAAATCGGCACAAAATCAAGGTAATTGTTCATGAACTTTTAATTTTTTGCACTTAAGTTCATCAATTTCCTTTATGCCGCCAACCCTAGCATAAATTGCCATGATTAGGTCGACTTTGATGATGATTTTGGTGTGATATGGCTGCTGTAATTTTGAGTAAAGATTTGATTTAGAAATCAAATCAATTTAGTAAAGAAATTGGCAAAAATCCTTAGTAAAACTATGTAGTTTTCGGCCTAGGACTTGAATTTTGCCATAGATCTTTAGGTGAACATGTTGCTGCATGAAATTGTGATTCCATGGCATGAAATCATGCCCAATATGTCGACATAGGGGCTGCAATTATCGACCCACAATTTCCTCTCCTTAGGCGCAAATTTGTGGCCTTATTTGGCTAGGATTACAAATTCTATTAGGTCTAGGAAGCCAAATTGGACTAGGAATTGGTGTTTTCCTTATGAAATTAGGTTAGGATTAGATAAACCCTAATCCTAATTGGACAAGGACCATAAACCCTAGCATGCCACGGCCTCAATTGATGGATTTAAATTTTTGGGCGGCAATTTTCAATTTAGTTCCTAGGGTTTATGTGATTTTGGGAATTTTGGCCAAATTGATTAAATTAGCCAAAAATTCAGGGAATTAATCATAAAATTAAGTCCTAATAAAAAGTATAGGAAGCTTAATTTTCATAATTTTGGTGCCCTAGTATGCCACAGCCCCCAAATTGCATAAATTGCAACTTGTACGTCATAGAATTAGGTTTTTTGGTTAAAATTCTTGCTAATTTTGGCCCAATTGATAAAATTAGCCATCAATTAACACTAAATCAGGCCTTACGTGCATGAAATTAGGTTTAACCTCACACGTCACAACCCAATTCAATAGAATTTTGAAAACCTAATTTGCCGAGCCCTTAATCGCATAAATTGCAAATTGGGCGGTATGCGACTTTACCTAATTCTTAGGGTTTCGGCCAAAATTGCTATTTTGGCCAATTATTCTCATCAAATAAGGTCCTTAGCACATGAATTTAGGTTTAATTTGACACGTGCACATCCCGATTGATGAATTTTAGTAAACCCTAGCATTGTCGTAGCCCTTATTTGCTAAAATTGCAAATTGGGCAGCATGCTCCTTTAGAAAATTAGGGTTTTTGGCCAAATTAGCATACTTAGCCTAAAAAATTAAAATTTAGGTTTAGGTTAAAATTAAGTTTAATTTCTTAATTTACCAAAAACCTTGAATTTTAGCATACCATGACTTTAGTTGAAAAATTACAACTCATGTGGTATGCACATTGATATTTTCGGCCTTAGTGTAGTTTTATGGCCAAAAAATTATTTTTATTTTCTTAAAATATTACCATAATTATTTTTGGCAGCCATAATAATTATTTTTGCCAAAAAATAAATTTAAGCAATAATTTTAAGGTGGTAAAAATATTTATTTTCACCAAGCTTATTAACAAAAATTGTATTCTAACAACTTTGTTAATTTTGTAGGAGAACTTGTTACATCTTCTGAGGAGGAGAGAACTCTTGACTTAGTGAAAAAACTTGTTGCTAAGTCTTACCATGAGGTAGAATTCCCCAAAGATGCTTTTGCTCCTTTCTTCACTGGTTTTCCTTCTGCTGAGATGAATGACTGCTTCCCTCTGCACCAAGGTGGCCTACTTCCTTTCCAAGGATATGATTATGACTCCCGTAAGTGGGCTAACAAACTTCAGTCATGGGCCTACTGCCCAGCCGAGTGGTGTGCTTGGGTGGATCGCATAGTCATGTATTGTGGAGAACAACTACGTGATCAAGACTTGTTGTCATTCGTCTTGTTATCAAAGCAAGAATTCTCTTATGATGGTGCCTTGCTTGCTGCTCTTAGCTCCTTTTGGAATAGGTGTTGGAATTACTTCCACCTCCCATGTGGACCAATGTCGGTAACTCTCCTAGACATAGCAGCAATCACAGGTCTCCCTGTGGATGGCGAATGGGTATCTTGCTCCACTCCTCTTGATGAAGCTGAAGATTTTCTCTATTCCATCTCTTTTAGTGACAAACTTTACTTCAACAAGTTCATCTCTGAGTATGCTAAATCCACATATTCTCCTCTTGAAGCTAAGGAACTCACGGCTTTCATGCTTTGCTTGATCTGCAAGTTCGTTGTTTGTCCTCCCTCACGTGTCTGCATTGCTGAGTATCTCCACCTTGCCAAGCTCATGGCCTCAGGAAAAAGATTAGCTCTTGGTCAATTCGTGTTGGGAAACCTTTACCGTGGCCTATTTAATCTTACTCAGAGTGTTGACAAAGGTACTCATGGTCCTTTGTGGATCCTTCAGGTGTGGGCTTGGATGTACTTTCCTCAGCTATCTCCTACTCGTCATGCAGCTACCTTTGCCACTCGGTGTTATGGTGACTTATATGGAGGCCTTGTGCATGTCAACAACAACGCGAACAATGTCTTCCATTCCTTGTGGAATCTGAAAGATCAAGAGTTCTTTCTCTATTCTCGGAGGTATTTTGGCCCTTCATGGTTCCAAGAAACACCTACTAACGAGAGTGCGGATGTTGTGAAGCAAGCATGGAGAAATTTCTGTTTGCCCATTGACCTCTGTTTTGGCGCTGAAGTGGATGGAA